GAATGAGTCTCACATTTCTTTTTTTTTTTTTTTTTTTTTGGTGACCACCCTCCCCCCGCCAGCCCAAGGTGGACAAGGAGAAGCTTAACTATCTTTCAGCTTATAATAGTTTATAAATTATAAGAATATATATCACAAAATTTCTAGTAGAAATATGTGTTGAAAAGATATCTGTTTTCAAGTCAGAAATGTTAATCAATTTTTTTGTGATTACTGAAAGGTGAGCTACTCTAGAAATGAATTTGGTTTTACTGGCGGATACATTAAAATAATAGATTAAGCAGCCAGGTTAAATTGTGCAGTTAAATAAGATACTATCATAAAATAGAATGTGTGTGCAGAGGCAGTTCCACAGTATAACCAATATTTGGATTTGATTGTGGCTCAACCACTTAGTAGCTGTGGTAGCTAGGGTAAGAGAGGGAGGGAGAGAACAAATGTATTGACCCCTGTGCTTGCCAGGCACTTTGCATGCATGTTATATCATTTACCTCCAATGGCATTGTAGATTGATTCTATATCCATTGTTTCATGGGAAGAAAATAGGATTGTGGATTGGTGGGAGAGCTGTTGTTAGCCGAATGGCTGACAATTAACTAAGCATTTTGTTAGATAGTTTGCCTTACATCAATCATTTGAGAGGTGGGTGGTATTATCCCTGTTTTCCAAATGAAAGAACAGGTCCAGGAGGCCAGAAGAACTTGTTCATAGTTAGTTGCTGGCCATACTGTATATAAACCCTGGTCTTTTTGTGTTTTAATCCCATCTTTGTTTCCTCCATTCTGACTCCTCAAATCACTTCACATTTCCTCATCTATAAAATGTGAATATTAAGACTTACAATAAAAATAAAGTGATTTGGAAATATTATAAATAATAAGGAACATTTAAACAGGATTATATACTGTACATTGTATGTTATTCTATTCAAATAAAAAATAGAATTGGGAAACGTTTTACTTTTTTTGAAAACAAATCAACGTTAGCCTTAGGTCCCCGTGAAATGATTTCTGATTAGTTTCAATGAAATTGTAAAATTTCAGGCTGGCATAACTCAATTCTTTTTTAAAACTCTTCTATAAAAGACAAGAGTTCATGTTTACTTCCCTTTTATCCTACCAAGCCTTATGTTTGATAGGGGCATTTATTGCCTTCACTGTGATTTGTATTCTCTAGAACTGCTTCATATTTGGTAAGTGGCATTTTTGGTTTTATTAGTGCAAAAGGGATATTGAGATGTTGTTAGAGAGCTAGGATAATTTTATTCACATAGAAAAAAAGGCAGGGCACTGTGGCTCATGCCTGTAATCCCAGCATTTAGAGAAGCTAAGGCGGGCTGATTGCTTGAGGCCAGGAGTTTGAGACAAGCCAGGGCAACATGGTGAGACCCAGTCTGTACTAAAAAAAAAAAAAAAAAAAAAAAAGGATTAGCCAGGCATGGTGATGCACATTTGTAGTCCCAGCTACTCAAGAGGCTGAAGTGGGAGAATCACCTGAGCCCAGGAGGTAGAGGCGGCAGTGAGCCATGATTGCACCACTGCACTCCAGCCTGGGCAACAGAGTGAGACCCTGCCTCAAAAAAAAAAGAAAGACACTAAGCTACTGTATTTTCATGAATT